TCCGCACCAAACATTTATCTTAAATTCATGTTGGAAGTGACGCTCACTGACTACGTGAGGATTTTCATTATCCCATATGTGCTTGTTTCTAAAATTGAAAATTCCTCGACGAGTAAAGGTCGCTTCATCAGTGAATAGTACATTATCCAAAAATTCCTGGTCAAGGTTTTGCTGATTGCGCATAAAATGAGCAAATTGTAATCTAGCTGGTAAGTCTGCTGCTAAAAGATTTTACACGGGTGTAAAATGGTAGGGATATAAATTTTCCTTGTGAAAGATTTTGAGAACTGTTGTTTTACTAACACCGGTTTCTCTAGCTACCTGCCTGCTGCTAACTTCTGGATTTCCTGCCACTCTTACTAAATTTCTTCTTCTTGGTGAACTGTAACAGTACGCCCTGCGTTGTCTCTTTTAGGACGAAAACTACCAGTTTCTCCAAGTCTATTAAAAAGTTCTTGAAATAGTTTCCGATTTGGTTGCCTTCTATTCGGATACAACTCTGAATACCGACGAAGCGCTCGACGTCCAACATAATCTGATTGCGCATAAACGCAAACCATATCGAGCATTTCTCCATTTGAAAATAAATTATGGCGTGGCATGTTATCTCGCACTACGATTTAGATCATAAAGTAAAGAATACTTTTAATAAGGCACGAATAATGCTGTAATATTACTGACAGCACTAAGATAAGTGGAAAATGTCAAAATTGGATTTTAACATAAACCTACTTGAAAATTTTTGCCGATTTGTAATTGAATGCAAATACATTGGAATTTTCATTCGAATTAAGTAATGACAAGTGCTTATTTTGTGACATTTATGCACTTTAAACAACGAACAATCAATTATTTTACAACGACTACTCGATTCTTCCACCGCTAATGTGATTTTTGTGTGGTATTTCTTTTGAGATTCTTTACATGTAAGTTTTTTAAAATCCGTTTAAATAATATGAATGTGAATAATTTCACGTCCACAATTTTCAGCTATGTTTCTAATCAGTCTCATGGCATGGCATATTCGAGCCGTTTTTCATGAAAAGCAATTACAAGCCACACTGTTATTATTTGTACCCCGAAAATTAAATTGACCGACCTAAACTCTCGAGCATAAATCAAGCTGGGACTGCCAGTAAAATCGCATAACGAGAAACCGGAACTTCACTTAACGTATAATCGAGTCATAAGGAAAAACTAGTTATTAAAGCGGTGAACGGAATTTAGTAGCGCCCCTACGCGGAACTTGTGATTGAAACAGGCCGAAGTTAATCACTATCACCGCATGGGGGCGCAGCTATGCTATCTCGACGCAAAACGTTATTGTTGGAGCCACGCGTATAACCAAATTCGATGGATTTAATTGTCCGTGAGCTGTCGTAACATTCTACAACCCTTGTCCCTTTTGATTTTTTTTACTTTTGAACAAACGGCAAGAACAAAAGTTTTAGGAAGTTTTCTTGGCTTGGCTGTGGAATCGAGGAAAAAGTAAACAAATAAATTAAACTTAGTGAGCTCCATCTTGTGAGACTAAGAATTAAATGAGACTTGAATTAAACAAAATAAAACGAGGGTAAAAGTGTACAGTCTTCAGTGGGACACTATACAAGGTCGGAAAGTCCCCATGGTTCATCGGCCGGTACGTGAGAGCGATAAAGTATGTCATAGAAATCCGTGCGATAGAGAAGGATGGCTATAATGAAGGCGTCTTATAGTCACCGCGCGTTTCGCCCTTCCACAAATAAGATCCACTTCCATTTGTAATTCAGCGACCGGTGGTCATCTTTGTTTTCGTCGTTTAGCTTTTCTTTAATAGATGTCAATTCCGATTTCGTATTCCGATATGTTAATACCATCCGTTAATAGAGGGCAGCACAACGCGTAACAAAGAAAACTTTTTACAGTAGGTAGTAGATACCTCTGTTTGTAAATCTAGTGACCTTGTTTCCCCTACTGAGAAGTTAGTCAAATGGAGTATAGTGCTCAGCTGCCTTTAAAGTTCATTTAGTTGTTATTTAAGTATACTTTTTAAAATGACTTAAAAATCACAAGAAATAAAACAAAATTCCCTATTTCCCCAATTCCAAAAAAATCTGTAGATCTGGCATCACTCTGTCTAAAGCTGCCCTCAGTTAACGGATTATATTAACATATCGGAATACGAAGTCGGAATTGTATAAGTAGTGACATCTATTACAGAAAAGGCAAAAGACGAAAACAAAGATGACCACCGGTCGCTGAATTACAAGTGGAATTGGATCTTATTTGTGGAAGGGTGAAACGGGCGCTGACTATGAGACGCCTTCATTATAGCCATCCTTCTCTATCGCATGGGGACTTTCCACCCTGTATGTGTGTTTTGTTTAGCATACGCTATTGCGTCGTGTCGAAATGTTAAAAACTTGTTTCTTTTTATAATGTTTATGGAGTAATAATAATAACGCAGTAATAGGAGTTGCTATAGCCAATAATAATTAAACTGGACCTTCACCTGCTGTGTCTGTTATAGCCTGATATATGTCGAACCCTCTACATACCCACATTTTTTTTTACAACCTTAAAATCATGAGTGGGCAAACAGCAATAAAGTGTACAACACCCATTTGTCGCCACCTTCTCCCCTTTACCCATTGCCGCGTTGTGTATTATATATTAGATCAATTTTTCAGTATCTCTGCGTACATTTTGGGTCAGCAACTGTTCATTTTCGGGCGTTATCCGCATTATCTTTTGATGTTTTACATATCACCAGCATACATCAAGCTGCTTTTAAGGATATTCCTTTTCGGGAGTGATTCAAAATCGGATTTTGCAACGCCACCGCATTTGTTACACGCTTACAGGTATCATAAAAACATAATGGCAGCGGACGCTGATTTATTTTGTTTTATTCGTTCGCCGTAAATTAATTTACAGTGATTAATTATCAAATTGGCATTCGCACAATGGTTTTCATTTTTTTATTATTAGTTATTGTGCTTTTACTGCCTTATTTACGATCGTATCAAAAGTATGGTTTTTACATCATTTTCAGTATAAAAAGTTGGCTTCTATAAATACTATTATTTCATTTTTGAAGAAAATGAAATTTTGAAACAAAGATAAATCGATAATTTAATGAGTCGAAATTCAGTACAGGTGATGTTTTGATGGTGCTACATGGATGCTCTATCAGTCCCGATAATTATGGCGCCTTTTTTCAAAACACACTGTATAAACAAAATTCATTTGAATCGTGCGTCCTAAAAAAATGTTATATTGTGATGTTATCATCCTGTATCATCGTTTAGATAGCCGACATATTGCGACGAGTTTAAAACAGTTTCCCAGGAATTACCCGAAGATTCATTTCTCGTTTCTCGTCACCTCATTCACATGCAAAGCTTGCACTGGGCGCCTCCGCCGTCGTAATTCTCATAATTGGAGCTGATGCCCTCACGCTAAACGCTTATCGTTAATTGAAAACAAAAACACAAGTCCTTATCGCGGGGAGGCGACGCCGTCGAAATGGCGGCGAGTCCATGCTAATTTAATTGACCAACAATTAAAGTTGACTAATTAAGTTATCATCCTAGTTGGGAGGGAGACGGCAATCTTTCGCTCGTTTAAATTTTTCGGTTCAGTTGAGGAGAATTAATAAAAATCCAATTAATTTTCCGTCTGTCCGGGTGCCGTAGTAAAAGTGTAGCTCTGCAGCCGTAAACTGGAAGAAACAGGTTATGGACGTGATGCTTACCTCGCTTGTTAAGGTAAGGAGCAACGTGCGCTCCAACAAATTCATTGTGGAACCTTTTGTCTTAGCTAGATTTAATTTACAATTGTTAGACCACTCATTGGCTTCGTTTTATTTCTCTGGGGACAGAAAAGAGACGAGATTCATGTAAAGTACGAAAAGCACGGGCCCCAAAACAGAACCGTGAGGCGCCCCATTTGCTTAAGTCGGATATGTCGCTTCTTAAAGTGACACATTGCTTTCTGGAGATGAGATAATAAGTGAAAAAAACAAATGTTCTGAAGCAATATCATCTGAAGGGATTGTGTTGTGTGCAAACATTTTTATAAATAAAGAAAAAGCCGCAATTAATAATGAGTTTGTTCCAAAGGGTGGTATTTGTGAGAAATATGTTATGCTTTCGTTAAATCTAACTTGCGAGTCACAGTTTAGAAGACCACAATTAATAAAGGTCAGAGAATCCTTAAAAAAAACCAAGGTGGTTCTCCAATCAGCCCCGACACTTAATTAATATTGCAAGTTTCATAAAACAAATTACTTTCTGATACATATTGGTGGCATTTACAGTTGCCAACCTAATTTGCCCAAATAATAGATTCCCATTTTAATTGAGATCCAATTATTTATTAAAATCAATGAGTTTTTACAGTTATTCGCACTTTTATAATTGTCTCGTTAAGTTCCAATCATCTAAAAAGGTATTTCAAAATAGCAAATATGAAGTTTTAAGCAATATATTTAAATTAGAAACACAAAAACTTTTCGTTCAATTAAAATGGCAATTTTTTTTTGTTGTGCTTAAGCCAATATTTCACCACTTCTTTAAGCTCGTCACCATTTATAAATCTTCGTCCTCCCAAAGCGTCTTACCAGAGCCCAAAACCACAACAATTAAATAAAGTAAGTGTAAAGTGTTTTAATGTAACCTTATTGACCTTACTATATAACATGAAGGAAATAAAATTACTTCTACCTCTTGTTCTAAAGTAGATCCATCCAAACCCTAGAAAAGGATGCAGGACCTGTCCAAGGAAGATTTGCACTTGAACTTTTGATTATGTATCCTCTAATAGACCGACCCTGATTGTGATCTCCTCCTGGCAGAACCTCTCCTTCCAGACCAGTATTCCCTAGATGATCTGTGTCTGCAGGGCCCAGCTAGTAGTCCAACCGGTATCCTTATCGACCTATGATTTTAGTTCAGTATAATATATTAAACTCTGTCATTTATATACGACGTTTTTAATAATCTTTATTTTTATTTCAGGTGGTTGTGTGAACTTTGGCCACTCGTGTTACGGAGGGATGGGAAAACGGGCCTCCGACCTGATAGACACCAACGAGGAAGTGCTTCAGAACGTGGAGGATGTGGAAGAGAATCCGGCGTTCGTCTTTACCGGCCCGAGAAGCTCTTACAAGCCTAAACCTGACAGACTGACGCAGCAGCAATATGACAACATATCGAGGGTGGTCAGACAATGGGTGCGTATTTTCGCAATTGGTATCAAATAAATTTACATTAATTAAACAAGAAAAGGAAAGAAAATCGTGAACCTTCTGGTATTAATTTTTCTCTCTATTTCATTAAGCTGAATTTGGTTATTGGCAAATCACTATTGACTATTCTGTTCTGTGTAATTTGAATATCTGGCACATGAAAACAGATATAGGATAGGGGAATAATGTTAATGGAAATCGCTTTGATTAATTGGGTCGGAAAGTCAAATCTAACAGCTTCTTGTCCTTTTATTTCTCTTATTGTAGTAGTAAATTATGTGTACACCATTAGGCAGGGTTTTGTCAGGAAATTATTGACCTGCTTTGCATTTTGAGTGTTTCTCAATGTACTGTTAGCAGACGACATGTTCTGCATATTCTAACACTTATCTAATATTGATTCTCTTGCAAAAGTATTCGTTTTACCTTCCTTAAAAACAAATCAAACGAGGTTTGGGACTCCTTACCAATATATTTGCTCTTCAATTTCAAATTTTCGTAAAGCTTTGTTCAGAATCAGCATTTTCCAAAATAGGAGCTTCAAAGCTCTCTGGAGTGCCATGTTACAGAATTGGAAGGTCGTGAACGACCGTCAGATGGAGGTTTACTTTATTTAACCGAGATTAGGATGCTTCCAACACAAGATATTTGCTTATTTCTGTCTAGTTGGTTATTAAAGGTGTTGTTTATATTTTTTTTTGTTTATTTCAGATTGCGAACTACAGGAGGATGCAGGAAGCACCCAATGAAAATATGTAAGGAGGAGAGGAATAAAGTAAATTTTTAAATGTCTTGAAGAACTGAAAACTTGTCCTTAAAATGTATCAAATAGAAATTAAAGTAATAATAAAACCATATCCCTTAAATTATAAATAAATGTTACAAATGATAAGCAAATAAAACAGTATGTGTAAGGCTTATTGATGTAGATAAGTAAATTGATTTATAACTTGTTTTCTGATTCTGTACTTGAAGACATATTTTATTGTGATCTTGATTATAAAAATGTTACAAATAAATATAGGTTGGCTGGAATGTTGGTGTTAATTTTACAAAAAACGTCCATACAATATTTTATTTAAAATTAAATTTTACAAGTGTGTAGGCTACCAACAACGCACGAGCGTATGGATTTTGTCGAGTGTTCAGACAAGCTAAGAGCAGGTAGGTATGGTTAAAAAATATTTTTACTCGTAATAAACAAAGCCAGAAAACTAGACAAAAATAAATGCTTTTATATTTCGAATATTAATTCCTTTGGTATTAAATAGTGTGCCGACTTTTGGTTTTTCTTTAGGTCGTTTTATATTTTCAGGAAATGCGTTTGTAATAGAGAACAATTCACGAAAATTTAATTTCCAATCAAATATCTAGTGTGCGTGTGATTCGTTATCAGTACATTTTGTAAATAAGTAAACAAAATAGCCCAACCTAAAGCATTATTCTAATTTTAGCTGGTTGCACCGATTGTTGAATTAAACTTGTATTTCTTTCTCTCGTTATTTATCGATGAACCCACTGTTTGAAAAAGTTTAAAGTTTATCAATGGTAAACCTGTTTATTTAGCCGCGATAAGGACATCAGCGCAAGAAAACATTTAACAGTTTCCTAAATAAGCGCAATTTCTGCTTATTTCTAGTGCGTGTAACTTCGATTATGGAAGCCTATGTGGGAACGTAAGTTGTTGTGATTGCCCCAGTAATTATTTTTTAGGTTATGTACATACGTAGAGATAACCGCGTTGTGGTGTTAAAAATCATTAAAGAGACGACTTGAGAAAAAAATATGCTTATTGTGTTGCAGATCAGATTGCGATGACAGCCTCCAAGTGGTAGACATAAAAAATCTACAGAAAATTTTGACGGAGGATGAAATACATTTTTCAGACATGACGTCTCTAGGGACAATGATGCTGCTCGGTAAGTTTTTTGGGATAATTACACCGTGATTAGTTCATAAAAAATATATAATTTTGTAAGGGAAATAAAGTTTAAAGAAATGTACTGTATTGTCTATGCAGATTTCCTTTCAGACAATATTATTTGAGTTTTCAAATTTGCTATAAAAATTCTAAGATTGACTAAGAATAAGGTCAAGATAATCTAAGTATGAACACGTGTTGCCTTGACAAATATTTGTTTAATGCAAAATGCAAAGACTAATATAAAATATGCTCAAAATAGATTATTTAGCTATTATTCAGGGTGCTTCCCAATTTTTTGGAGGACTTTGGCTTGCAGTTTTTTCTAAAAAGTTAAGTAAAAAAGATTAGAACTTTTTTTAAACTATGTATTGTTGTTCCTAATGTACAGGGTGATTCGGTGATTCACAACGTATCCAGAAAATCCAAAATAGTTTCCAATCTATAGTTTCCAAAAAATCTTTGTAATTTCAGAGAAAAAAATTTATTGAAGTTGTAGTATTTTCAACCCTTACATTGCTGGGTTACTGTAGTCTGAGTCATTCGCGTTGTGCGCTCTCTCTCCACGTGGCCTCCGAATACTGAAATCCGAATTATTAACGTGTTCGTGATAGTGTTTACATTAATTTTTCAAAAAATATGTCTTTTTCCCTTTACCGTCCTGGAATTTTCCCTTTACGAGTCTATTAGCCAACATCTTGTACATCAAAAATAAATTCTCGCAGAGCACACTGCCTCCAAAATGCCCGAGGAAGCAAGCGAAGAACTGGACGACGACACCAACTTGCACAGGCTCTCCCTGGCCTACGAAAGGCTGCACACAATGCCCAAGATACTGACAGAAGAACTGGCGCCTTACGTGAGGATCCTAGACTTAAGCAACAATGAATTTGAGTACGGCTCGAGTGATAAGCGTCTGATAACTGTTAACTGCGTTTCTTTGTAGGAGTTTAGATTTTCTAAGCGAGTTCACGGAGTTGACACACTTGATATGTGACCGCAACAATATAACCTCTAAGACTGTCATTCCGTTCCTGCCCAAGTTGGAGTTGCTGTGGATGAATCATTGCAAGGTAACGCACGGTTAGTCAGATCTAGGAACAGCTTTGGGCATCTCGATAGTGGCCCGAACCTCACTTTTCTATAACTACGTGTAATCGAGATTGTTCAAGTTGATTTTGGATTTCACAAACTGTGTCAATTATTAGAATTTGTTATTGCCGCAATGTGGTTTCTCATAAATCATAAATTTGAAATTTTTTTTTGCCCGTACAGAACTAGAAAAATTATGATTTTTTTTATCAAATCCTGATCCTGTTGCAGATGTAATTCCTGGACATTTTAATTTCATTTTTAATAGGATCTTTAATATGTCCCTTCTCTTTCTGTCTTCTTTCGACTTTCAGCCGCTACAATCACGATTTATTAATAAAAGCAGCTGATGGTCAATGAAATCCAAGGCAGGTGGTGGATTAATAACGCTGTGGCAGCAATTTTCAATAATCGAAATTTATTTATTCTTTCAATCAGACCGAAATTGCGTAAATTTAAAAATTACTAAATGGATTTTATTAAATTAATGTGATAGACGTATGATACAAACTACAACTAAGAAAAAAAAATCATTAAAATTCTAAATTCCCGACAATTCTATTTGGTCTTTTTAGAAAAATTAAACAACTTATAAAATACAGTTTCCAGTCGATAACATCAATAGTTCCGAAAAAATAAAACATGAATGTTATTCAACAACTTTTCTGTAGATCGATCGGGACAATTTTTTAAATAGAAGTTGGGAAATAACTTGGTATTGCGTACAATTTTTGCTACATACAGGGTTATTCGCAAATGGTGACCAAAAATGAAACCTCGTCTTGTTTGGTGAATTTTAAGTGGTCTTTTTAGAAAAATAGCATGTAAATTTTAGGAAGAGCCCTCAGATTTTGGGCAATGTTTACATAAATACATGTGCCCAATTTCAAATTTAATTCACTTACTAGTTTTTTAATTATTTAAAAAAATTAAAAATATTTTTTGAAGTTTAAAAACTTTGTAGGAAAGATTCCCCTTAAAATCAATAATAAACATCAAATCAAATATTGGAATTTGCATTGCCTTTTATTAACAAAATTTACGGATTTGAAATAATTTTTTTAAGAAACATATTCCTTGAAGCGTTTCAAATTGTGTGTTTCTTACGAAGAAGTTTTTGATTCTGTGTAACTAACCGCTTGTACTTTTTAAATAATTATCTCCGAATATTCAAAAACTTTTTTACTTTGCGCGATGTAACAAAGCGTTCTTGTTCGTCATGGGACTTTAATTTTTGTAGATAAGAATTTTTTTTATAATAAAGCTGAAAGATTCATCAGCGTCGACGATTTTATTTTTCTAATTTTAAAATCGCGAAGCTTTAAATCAAATTTTCTTTGCAGATCTCTGAACTGTATCCTTGGGCGAGGAAATTGCTCCATTCCTGTCCCAGTTTAAGATATCTTTCACTGATGGGCAACCCGATAGCCCCGTCCTTTTTGAGAGGGGGAACGTTCTTTGAGTATTTACAGTATAGGTAAAATCTCTCGAATTCATAATCTGTTTCATAACCTCAAAATATATTATTATTCCTGTTTTCATTCAAGAATAACATTATTTCTCAAAATGATCTTCCTAAGATTGAAGTTTTGAACCAACTGTTCTAGAAACATAACTTTAAATTTGGTACACAGTAGCTAGTAGCTCAAAGCTGTTAGGAATAATTTGAGAAAAAATAATTCTTATTGTTCTTATTCGTTTGTATTACTTGTTTGAAGACAACTGTGTATTCTATATTCAAGGTTGTTCATTGTATCTCTCTTTCCTTACCTGATACATTTAGACGACAAAATAGTCACACTAGAAGAAAGGAAAGAGGCGCAAGAAATTTATCACAGGCCGCTCATGGAAAGGTTTGTGACAAGGACGCAAAAGAGCTTACCATCCTGTCTAAGAGAAATGTCTGAAAAAGTGTCAGAGTTATTAACACCAACGCCAGCATTTATGGTTCCCAAGAAAAATGTTATAATTTAATTTTTTTATAATTTTGCCACTCTTTTTTTATTGAAATTCGAACTGAAATAATTTTAATGAATTAACTAGAAATAATAGATAGCGTAGTATATTTGAAAGGCGCCAATTTCGGATCTGGATCTCTAAATAATGTAATAAATTTTTTGTAAAAATAAATACCCACTATAGATTTTAAGACACTGTTTCATTTGAGAATTTTTTAATTTCAGGTTTTTTAAATTGGAACATGTTCTTTTACCAGTTTCTTCGACTTTTTAAAATAATTTGCCTTAATTATTTATAATTGTTTCATCGTTTTCTGATTTTCGATAATTTTATGTAAAAATGAAGTACATACCATAGAATCTATAATTATTTACTTTCAAGTATAGGAATTTTATTAAATAAAAAACGTGTTAATGATCAGTTTTATTTAAAACTTTTAAGCCGTCTTCCAAATCTGCCCGGTGGTAAAACTCAACTGGTCAGCGCTTTTGTAATGTTCAAACACGATGATGCTATTATATCCCTTCTTCAAGAAGGGCGCTGGTAGATATAAAGCTTGCTGAGGTCCGATCTTGGCGTATTTTCCCAGAGGAATACCGTTCACAACGACCAAACCTTTGGTCCAGCTCCTCATATCGATGTAGGTGTCACTGGGCTCGTCAGAAATTTCCAAACTCGCGTAATATAGGGCAGGTCCTAAGCTGGACGTTTTGGATGACCATGCCTCGAGGTTGTTGGTCCAGCTTTTCTTGAATTCTAATGGAATTATTTTCCAGCCGGATACTCTGTTGTCATTGAGATATACGTCACCTTAAAAGGATGTATACATTATTTAGAAGCTTAGTATTTGGGATGTAAAATTTACTAGTAGTCGATGACGAAATATTTCTGGCGCCCAAACTTTAATTGAATTCTACTACCTCTTGTACCATTACTTTAAAGATATTTATACATTTTATGTCTTTAAAATATAATAAAATTACCAGAACTAATACAAAAATAACATATTTTATTGCGGAACACAACTACCCTGAATTAGGTATCAATTTGTTTAGATCTTTGAACTATCTCTTCTAATGTATTTCCAGAGAAATTTGGACTATCCTTACCTTGCCAAAGTCCCTTGAACGTCTGATTGTACTGAGTGATCTTTCCTCCATTGATCCTACCCCAGTTCTCCACCAAGATATCAACAGTAGCCCCCTTCTTCTCATCCGTGGTGAGCACCAAGGTCGAGTCGGCCAGTCTCCAAAAACCGAACCCATCCAAGTCGTTCTTCGTTTCCAAGCTTGGAGAAACCCGAACTCCATTCACCGACACCACTGCCGTATCGCAAATGTGTCCTCCAATCTTGAGCACGGTGTTAGCTGCCAGGTCCACATTTTCTTTCCTGTAGACGATGTAGCCGTAGCTCTGGCCCGAGTTACCGTTGATGTCCAGCTTCTCCATGGCTACTACGTTCTCGCTCTCGATGACGTAGGGCGCGTCGTACTGTATCAGGTTGCTGAGTAGTATTTCCTTTTCGATGGATATAACAGGGTACGCTATCTTAGGGTTTAAGTTAGGTACGTCCGGGGTGTAAGTCTTAACGGGACTGTGTTGAATAAGGAGTTCCCGGATATTGAAGTATTTGTCGGTGTAGTCACCAGACTCGGTTAGTGGGGAGTCGTAGTCGTAGCTGGTGGTGATGGGTTCGAAGCCGGAATTGTCGAACAGAGTGTTTCCTAGAAATACGCCTTAGTTATTTGGTGATCTTTTAACTTTTAGTTCTAATATGAAGTTATGTCGAATGAAAGTAATTAAATAACAGGACTTGTTAAATAACATTGTTACAAGAGTGTCTTGTAGAACGTGTTTTAATCTCAATGGTTGGCATAAGTCTGCACAAAATACACTTGGTCTTCCTATAAGTAAGAATAATATTTTTTATCGCTAACATTCCAAAAAAAAAGATAACGTAACTTTCCCAACGAAATGTGAGATGACAATTGCTTCCTTTCTGTGATTGTTTCTTCTGATGAACAAGCCACTGCTCGACTCCAACTTGAAGGAACAATTGAGAGATGGGAAAATGGCAATAAAGACGATTTGGTTAAAATTCATACAAAGATTTTTGTAAAGGTCGTTCACCGGTGTGTGTGTGTGTGGATTGAGGAGGGGCTATATCGAAAATAGGTGCGGACAGATTGTGTTAGCGCTCTTACGTTACTAAATTATCAAACAATTCCTATTATTTAATTACTTCTTATAATATAGCGTATCAGTCTGTAATATAGCTTACGCAAATACTAAAGATAACTGCCCTTTAACCTTAAATAAGTAATAAGCATCAGAGATACACAGAGAATATCCATCTACAAAATACGAAATATGTAGAATATATCCTGTAGACTGTTTACATAAATTATCAATTCGATCATCTCGAAAATGCTACTATGAATCATTTTATTTTATTAAGATACCTAGCTGAATTAAATTATGTCGCATTTTACACATTTGCTGACTTTAAGTACGTACCAAGAGATGCACCATTAGTAAACCCAAAATTGGTACCACCATGGAACATGTAGATATTAACAGATGCAGGATATGTCAAAATTCTTTCGTATATTCCTTTCATGGTGTTTGCATCTCTAGTTGCGTGGTCGTTGCCCCAGAAATCGAACCAACCAATCCAAAATTCCATTACCATCAACGGTCTGCAAAATAAAATTAATTCACTCTGATAACGTTTCTCAATTATTTTGTTTGTGTTTCTATTGTTTCCTACTTTTAGAATTTAGCTGCGGCAGCAGCTGCTGTTATTACCTTCTTTCTCTTTTTTCTTATTTTCTCTTGTTTTATGGTGACTTACCGGTTTGGTTGCAGTTCCAATAATTTCTCAAACTGTTTCTCAGGAGAAGCTCCCAAATTGGCAGTCTGCAGGAAAACACCCGGTAGGGTACCTTTGTCTTGGTGGGACAGTGGACTATCGGATGTTACCAACAGCTCCACAATACTATTTTGAACGAAAAGTTGATGCAATTCTTCCAAATACTCTTTCTGTGGGAGGAAGGTTTGGTATTCTTGGTTTCCGTACTCATTTTCTACCTGGAAAGCTATGATAGGGCCCCCTTTGGTGAACTGGTATTTCGCCAGTATCGGTAGAAGAGTATTGAAATATCTAAAAAAAAAATTGGTAAAATACATATATTTTGACTTACGTATATTTTTGAGAAGTTCAGTTTCAACGAATTTATTGTGGTTACCTACTTTTTAAAATTGTACATTTTTGATCATTAGCTTTTTTATTTTACTTTATATTAAAAAACTTAAACGAATTCAAATTAATTTTTTAAAAGTTTCATAAATTATTCTCATCAAACGAAACTATACAAGGGTTTTCTTAGTGAAAATGAACATAAAAAGTTTTGGTAAACCGAATGTTTATTCTGAGAATGACCTGTTGACAAAGTTTTCCTTCAAATATCTTCTAAGATAATTAAAATATCAATATCAAATTTAGTACAATACATTTATGACAATATATTTATTAATATAGTCGACGTTTTTGACAGTCATTTCAAAATAAATTTTTTTCTAAATGTTTGTGTTTTATATATCATTTTGCTCTATTAATATTTAACCATTTCATTTTACAAGGACCAAAATGCAGAAAGATATCTGTCTATCATGGCTTATTGAAATCATTAAGTAGTGTTGAAAACCTTCAAAAAATTATCTTCTGTTCTTGCTCCTAATAGCTTTAACATCACTTTTTTATAGGTACGAACAATTCTGAATTAAATACCTTGTTACGTATTTCATGTAGGTCTCTTCTGTTGTCCTAAATCCCATACGTTCCTCTCTCAGCAACCAACTGGGAAATCCACCAAAATTGTACTCGGCGCATATGTACGGCCCACTCCTCAGAATTACAAACAGGTCCTCCTCCTTAGCAGTGGTCAGCAGCTCTTCAAGGTGCAGGAAATCCTCCATCTCAGACCCACCTTCTCCAAAATCGAATACTCCGTTTTCGGGTTCGTGGAGATTCCACGCGATGTACGTCTCCACTGTGTTGAGACCTGCAGCCCTTAATTTTTGTAAACGATCCCTCCAATAGCCTCTTGGTACCCTGAAGTAGTGCATGGCACCACTGTATAAAGAAAAGTTCTTCCCATTTAGAACGAAGTAGCTTTGGTCTGCGTTCAGGCCAGAGCTGATGCCTCCTGACGTATAGTATTCATAGTTCGTCGGTAAATTTTGCGTTGTACCCGAAGACAGGAGTAAGGTGAGCGTTACTAGTAACGGAAGGACCATTTTACTTCGATTATACTCTTAATTCCTATTGCCAATGATTTATATTTATCGTGGTGGATGTGGTACGTGCCAAAATCAATCACTGATAAGAGTATCTACAACAGGGGTACTTGTGAATCCAAATATTTTTCTATATATTTTTTTTAGTAGAAAACACAACTTGAAGTAAAATGGGAGGATTCTTATCAGCAATTGAAGGAAAACTAAAAATAATAACAAAAATAATGTACTACCTACGCTATTTCAAGTAGTTTTTATCAGTTTTTTTATAATTATTCGTATCAGCTGTTGTACTTTAATTCTTCTTTAAGTATCGTCGACGTTCCAAGCTTCTTGGAATCGCAATCATTAAAATGCAGAACATATTAAAGGTCTAATCGCTAATGATTTCAAAGTAAATACATGCATTCGAAATCCACTGTAAAAACAATGACATATATTTATTTTTGAATCATCTATAAATATTTGTAGTAGAAATAACCACTTGTAAAAGTTCGATAAGATTACCATCCTCTTCTTAACAATGAAAACAACTATGCGTATTTGTTTTATATAACATGGAGATTTGAGTACCATAAATTACAATAAATATAAGTGTTCACGTGATCAGTACGTCAACAAATAGTACGTATAATCGAAATCTTGCAAAATTCGTGACACTCAAAGATTTGGTATTTATGTGGTTGAAATTATTTACATAGAAAACAGAAGCAAAATATTTAAAGAATTAAGTAAAATGAAGCATATATCATAGTTGCATCGAAATTTATCTTGTTTTAACTTGTGCCATACGTAAAAGGTTTATATCATAATAGCACGCTTGTAAAAGCTACCATCTATTTTTGCTTATTCCTAGAATATTAATAATAATAATAGAAGTAAAGTCAGCATAAAAGTTTATTTATCAATATCAGACATGAAATCATTGTACAGTATCTGGCACGGTCCAAATTTGTTTCAAGGCGAAGGACACCTCGTCGTTAGCCTTGAAATGCTCGAAGATAACTATATCGTTGGTTCCTTTCCTCAAGAATGGACCGGGAAGATACAGCGTCTGCTGGGGACCCAACATGAGGTATTTTCCTAACGGGAAACCGTTCACGATAACCAAACCCTTGGTCCACTTCCTCATGTCCAGGAAAGTATCTTGGGGCTCATCGGAGATCTCCAAAGCAGCGTAGAAGAGGGCGGTTCCATCGTTAGAGGTCTTGTCACTCCAACCTTGGAGGTTATTAGTCCATTCTTTCTTGAATTCTAGAGGGATGATTTTCCAGTCGGAGATTTTGTCTTCATTAAGGTACACATCTCCTATGAAGGAAAATATTGAGTTTTCAAACATGTTCCTTTGGCTCTTAGGATATATTTTCTATAATACTCACCCTGCCATAAGCCCTTGAATGTCTTGTTGTATTGATATATATTTCCCCCATTCATTCTACCCCATTCCTCGACCACTATATCTATGGTAGCGTTGCTTATGGGATTAGAATTCAACAGTAGAGTCGAATTCTCCAATCTCCAGTATCCGAATCCGTCGATATCACTAACCGACTTCAAGACCGGTGACACTAAAACCCCGTTAACCAAAACAACAGCTGTGTCACAAATGTGTCCTTCGATCATCAAAACAGTTTCAGCTGCCAAGTCCACATTCTCCTTCCTGTAAACGATATAACCAACGCTTTGGCCTGAGCCATTGTTGATATCCAGCAGTTCCATGGCTACCACGTTCGGGCTGTTTATCACGTAAGGAGCGTTCTTATCGATAATGTCGCTGAAGGATAGCCGTTTTTGTACAGTTATCGTTGGGTAAGCAATCTTGGGCTGTAAGTTCGGAACTGCTGGCGTGTTGGTTGGGATGGTGCTGTACTGTTCTATCAGCTTCTTGACTACGGTGTATTTGTCAGTGTAGTCTCCAGCCTCGGTCAAAACGGAATCGTAATCGTAGCTTGTCGTTACCGGCATGAATTCAGAGTTATTGAAAGAGTCCGCACCTGAAATATCCAGAAACGTGAGAACGAGCTCAAAACATATTCGATGTGGTTTGGGACCATTAAAAAATTATAAAGCGGAGATATGTAGGTCGGTGCAGTGACTTGAATATCTAATAGAGCTTACCAAGAGATGCTCCATTGGTGAAACCCCAGTTTGTGCCTCCTATGAACATGTAGATGTTGAAAGAAGCTGGAAATTCCAGTATGCGTCTCAAGACCTCCAATACGGTGCCAGTTTCGGTGGTGTGATGAACGCCGGTCCAAAAATCAAACCATCCAACCCAGTATTCCATAGCCAGAAGGGGCCTGTAGTTAAATACATAATATTCTAACCGTATTGGGCCTTTACCGCATATGGTACTTACTTATTTGGTTGTCTCTTCAGGATCTTGTTGAATTGCTCCTCGGGATCGGTACCCAAGTTGGTGGCTTGGAAGACTCCGTCTACGGTGCCTTCATCTCCTTCCACTGATGGACTGTCGGAAGTTATCAACAGCTCCACTACGTCGTTATCTAAAAAGATCTGGTAGAGGGACTGGAGGTATGCCCTTTCGGGTACAAAGTCTTTGTATGCGGCGAATCCATATTCGTTTTCTATTTGGAAAGCAATTACGGAGCCTCCTTTCGTGAACTGATGCTTGTTTACGACCGCAAACAACTTTTCAAAGAATCTGAAAAGGAGCGAAACTGTTTGCTTAGAGAAATGTTGCTGTTAGACACTTACACTTACCTTTTTACGTATTTTAAGTAGTTGGCTTCGTTCGTTCTGAATCCGATCGTCTTTTCCCTCAGCAACCAAGCGGGGAACCCTCCATAGTTGTACTCAGCACAGATGTAAGGTCCCGGTCTCAGAATAACAAACAGATCTTCTTCCTGCGCAGTCTGAAGCAGTTCCTCGATATGCAGGAAGTCCTCCATTTCCGTTCCGCCGTCACCAAAATCGTACACACCCGAATAGGGTTCGTGCAAGTTCCACGCCACGTAAGTCTCAATGGTGTTCAGGCCGGCTGCTCTCATTTTCTTCATTCTGTCCCTCCAGTGACCCCTTGGGACTCTAAAATAGTGCATGGCCCCGCTGTAGACGGAAAAGTTCTTGCCGTTGAGGGTGAAGTAAGGCTGGTCCACTGACAGACCAGAGCTGATCCCGTCGGACGTGAAGTATTCATAGTTCGTTGGTAGGGAGCCGCTGTTTACGAACAGTAAGAAACATACCGTTAGTATTAATGTCACAGCTAAAGCCATTTTCTTAGCTGTTTGCTGGTTTAAACTTGAGAGTGTGAATTATTACGAATTCCATCAATTTATAGATCGTGGGCAAGTACTTGTTTAATATTGTTATCAGTTCATTTTCAGGGGAAAAAATTATTTAATCAGTAATACCTTTTTGATAAATAGGTAAGAGTACTTCTGTTTCAACAGTAAATCTACATTTATCACAGTGCGAATACGAGATAAATAAAAATACTGTTTCCGCACAGCTTTAAAAAATAACATCTATTTTGCTCAAGTTGAATGGAGAGGGTATATCGCCAAATGTTTTGGAAACCATATTTACTTTCAAAGAAACACTAGTTTAAGTTAAAAAAATTTTCTTTGATTAAAAAACTAAACGAACTAAAAAAATGTACCAAATATTCCATTTGGCTACATCACTCATCAATTTCACATAACAAAAACTTTTTTGAATATCCCTTGTTTTTTGGTCCATGCTTTGCATTGTAAGGGTTACAATCTTTGTGAATTTTTTTTGCTTTGAATAATTTTTCGCAGAAATGTATCAAAGTTATCAATAAAAACACTTATCTGGCCATCTCTACTGTACATTTTATCAAACACTATTAGTTTCAAGCACAAATAAATATCGCATTTTTTGCTGTATCTCAAAACTTCTTCTAAGTGTTTCACGTGGGGAAAAAGATAAAAAAAATATGTGAACATATGTGAGTAGTATTTAATAACACACGTTTGAAAATTATGTTAGATTATATTGTTTGTATTTCTCTTTCTGAATAAACAAGATGTTCCTTGATTAATTTTCAAACTTCATCATAAAAAATGCTGGTCGAAAGATCACACTTTAACGAAAATCGTCCATTTAGAAAACAAAATTCAAAAGCATTAATAAATTCGAAATTTTAAATTGATTGTTTTAGAAATTTAAAAAAATCGCACGAAGATTTAATTTTACTTCATGTGAGGCAGAAATAGTTATTAAATTCTCAAGATATATATCAAGATTAGAATGGAAATTAAAATTGAAATTTCACGCTTTTTTATTCCCTATCGAGCAGGTAGATGTTACAACCAATCAGTCGACAAGAATACCCTTTCTATGATTCCTAATAATATTGCACAGTTTTTGAAATTAGAACATCCTGAAACATATACAGGCCATTCATTCGGAAGAACATCGGCAACGTTACCGACTAATACAGGAGTTGATATATTAGCAATCAAGGGACATGGTTGGTGGAAATCAGCCACAATTGCAGAAAGTTATGTTGCTCACAGTTTAAGTAACAAAAATGAAATAGCTAACAGAATTCTTTACAATGACACTTCTACTCCAGGTTCTAGTAGTACGTCGCATCATGATGTTTTAATGGATCAATCAGATAATATTGAGCCTTGGTTTAGATCCAACGAGTTATGAATATTTCACGTCAGACGGCATCAGCTCAGGCCTGTCAGCAGACCAGCCTTACTTTACTTTGAATGGAAAAAATATTACGATCTACAGTGGTGCTATGCACTATTTCAGAGTTCCAAGGGCCCATTGGAGAGATCGTTTAAAAAAAGTAAGGGCTGCAGGTCTCAACACAGTGGAGACGTACATCGCGTGGAACCTCCACGAACCCGAAAACGGAGTATTCGATTTTGGAGAAGGTGGGTCTGAGATGGAGGATTTCCTGCACATAGAGGAATATTTAAAGATAGCACAAGATGAAGACTTGTTTGTGATTTTGAGAATTGGACCATATATATGTTCTGAGTTTGACTTTGGTGGGTTTCCCACTTGGTTGCAGAGAGAGGAACAAATGGGTTATAGAACCAACGAGCCTACTTACTTAAAATACGCTGAAAGGTACAGTATCCTATTTTAATTACAGAAATCTGTAGCAATACGTATTTCAGATACTTCAACGTGTTGTTACCGATTCTTAAAGACTACCAATTCACTAGTGGCGGACCAGTGATAGCTTTCCAGGTCGAAAACGAGTTCGGATATACATTATATGAAGATCATGAGCCAGAAAGGGAACATCTCGAACAACTCCGCCAGATTCTTATTAAAAACGGCATAGTGGAATTGTTAGTAACGTCAGATAGTGTCACATTCGCAGGTGTCTCAGGGACCATACCTGGTGTCTTCCTTCAAACCGCCAATTTTGGGTCTGATCCGGAGAAGCACCTGAACAAACTTGTAGAGTTGCAACCTGATAGGTGAGATATTAGTTCACCCAAATTGTTATTTTTTTAAGTTAACTGTATTGTTGACGTACTAGACCAGCGATGACGATGGAATACTGGATTGGATGGTTCGATTATTGGGCTGACGAACATAATTCTGTAAGCGCTGACACTGCAAGAGATCTGTACGAACGTATCTTAAAATTCCCAGCTTCCGTCAACATCTATATGTTTCATGGGGGTACAAACTTTGGATTTACCAATGGTGCAGGGCTGTGTAAGTACCAATTATATCTATACGAATTTGGATCATATCTAACTCTGTCCAAATATTTTTCAGCTAATCGACTTGTTGACAATTCAGGCTTACAACCTATAGTGACAAGCTACGACTACAATTCCCCACTGAATGAAGCGGGCGACTACACAGACAAATATTTCGTAGTTAGAGAACTACTGGAAAAGTATAATCCTGTCAAAACCAACACACCAGATCCACCAGCTTTGGCACCAAGAGTGGGTTATCCGTCTATATCTATCGACAAACAAATACCAATAGCTCAGGTTTTGATTGAAAATCCTCCTCATGTTATAAACAGCGAAAACGTTATTGCTATGGAAATGCTGGATATAAACAATGGATCTGGGCAGAGTTTTGGGTACATAGCTTACAGAAAGGAGAATGTATTTTTAGGACCCTATACCATCTTGGCAATCGAAGGGAATATTTGTGACGTAGCTATTGTACTGGTTGATGGTGTCTTGGTATCACCAATTTTAGAATCAAAGGATGATGTGAACGGGTTTGGGTTTTGGCGACAGAATAATTCTCTGCTGATATTAACCAATGAGGAGAAGACCAATGCTACTGTGGATATAATCGTTGAGGAATGGGGTAGAATGAGTGGGGGAAGTTTAAATCAATATAATATGACATTTAAAGGGTTATGGCAGGGTAACTTTGTCTATTCTATAATTTGTACCATTAAATTTACTTCTTCAATTTTCAGGTGATGTCTACATTGACACAGAAAGAATTACAGATTGGAAAATTATTCCTTTAGAATTTAAAAAATCTTGGACTAACAGCTTGGAAAACTGGTCGGACAAAACGTCTAGCGACGGACCTGGGTTGTATCACGCGAATTTAGAAATAACCACCGAGTCAAGCGACACGTACTTAGATATGCGAAAGTGGACTAAGGGGTTGGTTATTGTGAACGGTTTTCCTCTAGGAAAGTACGCTAAATTTGGTCCTCAGCAAGCATTATACTTACCTGGTCCGTTCTTGAAGACCGGTTCTAATGACATTGTGATATTCGAACAATTTAAAGCTAATGATGAGCTAAGCTTTGTCACGGAACAGATATGGAAAAGTGTGTAATGGTTTTATTTGTTAATAAATTACTGTAAAATGCTTATTTAAACGAGTAAGAGGTACTAAATAAAATATAATAAAGTATATATTTAAAAAATCGTACTGAATATGATTTATATAAAAAATACTGTTTTTTACCGCCTTTTTTATAAACATTTAGAATATTTCCAAAACCATGGATAATATTTAATTATAAAAAGTGTGATTGTATAGTCAATTAAGAAACACACATTTAAAAAAAATGTCCTTACGCCCTTTTGGAGTCGAGTTAAAACTTTTTTTTCAAAAAATCACAGTGTTTCTGTCAAAATCAAAAGGGCCCCTGGCAATAAATCAAAATTCCATTCAAATACAAAGCTAAGTTAGGTTTTAAGCTTTCAAAATCGACTTTCTAAACCCATTTTTTTTTTAAATAACTTACAGAGAGACAGAAGGTTAAAGGTTATGCAGTTTTGTCCTTGACGGCACAAAAATTAGAATTTTGCAAAAACGCACATTTTTGAAGAACATTAAAACACAACTTTTAGGCATATTTATAAAATTCCATCAAATAACAACCAAGTTGCGGATAATAATTTAAAAAATGCTGTTTTTCCAAGTTTTTCTTTCCGATAGCTTTTAAACAATTTATCCGATTTTAATCTATCAGGCGGCATTTTGTAGGTCTGATTATTGCGCATATTTCGTCTGTTGAACACTTTTCTCTAAAATCAATAGTTTTTCCAATAAATGTTGGAAAATAGTTAAATGTTTATGTTAAAATGTTTATGTTAAATGTTAAATGTTTTTTAATTACTATTAATTAAAATCTACTTCTACTTCTAATATTCGATTATACTCTTAATTCTCATTAACAGTGATTTATACAGTGTGATTCACAACTTATCCAAAAAAATTTGGGAATAGATGCAGCATGAGAAATAGAATCAATATCATAAAAAAAAATTTGTAAAATCCTTATAGTTTCCGAGAAAAAAAAATATTGAAGTTATAGTACATTGAACCACTACATAGCTGGACAACTGTAATCTCTAGCGTCATTCGCCACGTGGCCTCAGCGACTCCGAATACTGAATTCGGATTTTGCAATCTTCGTTGCGATATTTACGTTTACAACAGGTTTTTAGTAGTGAGTGTCAAAAATGGGTAGTTAGTGTCAAAAATGGTTTGCGTGTACTCGGAGTTGATGGATATCGTTTTAATTTATGGTGAAGCAAGACAACATTTGTGTTAGTTCGTAGAAACTGAGTACAACGGACCCAAATGTGTTTACACGTGAGTGGATAAAATTTTGAACAATTGTTGTAACATCGGTTATGTCAAATGATTTTATTATTTAAAAACACAAATTAATTTTATTAATTAATAAAAGCAAAAGCAGTTGAATTTGCCGATATAAAATAAGTACGATAAAATTCTATTTACATATTTCTTTCCTTGCGAAAGTCTTTGTCCGTTTTTATTACACCACCATGCCGCATTGTGCGAGGTCAGGTTTTACAGTGGACCAGTTTCCAGTGCCGTGCAGAAGTGTATTTTTAAATCATTTTCGAACTGCCTTTTTTGATTTTTTCTTTACAAAATTGTATTTGTAAGGGTCCCCTGCACATCCAGAATTTTTTTTTGGATAAGTTCTGAATCACCCTGTATTTATCGTGGTAGATGTAGTACGTGCCAACAGAAATCATTGATAACATTATCTATAACAGAAGTACTTTAGTGAATCTAAATGTTCTGCTATATATTTTTTTTTGTAGAGTACTTGAAGTAAAATGGGGGGATTCTTATCAGCAATTGAAGGAAAACAAAAAATAATAACAAGATGTACGACCCTTCCCCCAAATTGAGATGCCCCTGATTAAAATTTTTGAAAAATTTTATGATCTATTTCGACTTTTCATGAGCAGTCATGGCGTCAAACTTCATAATTTTCCTGCAACCCGTTTCAGAAATATTTAAAAAAACATGAATTTTTTGAGACTCCATTTAGGGGGTCGTAGTTCCTTTGAGACACATTATGAGACACTTGCTTGGGTGATTTTCAAAGAGCCGTAACTTGGAGGGAAATGATCGTAGAGAGAATCAAGAAGAGGGAAATTGAAGTTTCACGTGCCTAGTTTTCAGATCTGGAGTTTAAAATTTTTTAGCGTCAGCAGTTTTCGAGTAATCATAAGAAAATCAACGAACTAAAAAATTGCAAATTTTTTGTTTTGTTTAAAATGCCCCCAAATGCACATGGACAAAATTTTTTTATTTGGTAATTACACCACAAAGCTCTTTTAGATAATTTAATTCTCTTCAATTTAGAAAAAAGTAAAACTGTACTGTTCCATCAATTTTTTGACTACAGTGTATTTGTCAGTGTAGTCTTCAGACTCGGCCAAAACGGAATCGTAATCGTAGCTTGCAGTTATAGACATGCATTCAGAGTTATTGAAAGAGTCCGCACCTGAAATATCCAGAAACGTGAAACCCAATTTTCAAATTAGGAATATTTTTGATAAGATAATATTTTTTTAAAGTCCGTTTTTTAAAGTATCTATGACTCTAAATATGAACTACAAAACGTAACAATGGCTCTACTTTCGTAATAAATGTATACGTAAGTGTTACTAATATGTAAAAGCTCTTAAACTGATAATCGATATCTGTGCACCATCGGAAAACATGATTATATAAATATAAATAATGTATCATGCCCGTATCAGTTTAAAACCTATCGCGCCCAATAATTGTTTCATCTAATCATGGCGGTTGGCGTGACTTTACTGGGACTCTTATACCTGTTTGCACCCACTCTTGGTTTGGATCCAACGAATTACGAGTATTTCACGTCAGACGGCATCAGCTCTGGCCTGTCAGCAGACCAGCCTTACTTCACTTTGAATGGAAAGAATATCACGATCTACAGTGGTGCTATGCACTATTTCAGAGTTCCAAGGGCCTATTGGAGGGATCGTTTACAAAAATTAAGGGCTGCAGGTCTCAACACAGTGGAGACGTACATCGCGTGGAACCTCCACGAACCCGAAAACGGAGTATTCGATTTTGGAGAAGGTGGGTCTGAGATGGAGGATTTCCTGCACGTAGAGGAATATTTAAAGATAGCACAAGATGAGGACTTGTTTGTGATTTTGAGAATTGGACCATATATCTGTTCTGAGTTTAACTTCGGTGGGTTTCCCAGTTGGTTGCTGCGAGAGGAACAAATGGGTTTTAGGACTAGTGAGCCTACCTACTTGAAATACGTTGAAAGGTACAGTATCCTATTTTCAATTCAGAACCCTGTAGGAATCTAATCTTCTAGATACTTCAACGTCCTGTTACCGATCCTTAAAGACTACCAATTCACTAATGGCGGACCAGTGATAGCTTTCCAGGTCGAAAACGAGTACGGATATACAGTATCTGAAGGCTATAAGCCAGAAAGGGAATATCTCGAACAACTCCGCCAGATTCTTATTAAAAATGATATTGTGGAACTGTTAGTAACGTCAGATGGTATCACATCAACAGGTGTCTCAGGAAGCATACCCGGTGTCTTCCTTCAAACCGCCAATTTTGGGTCTGATCCTGAGGGACAACTGAACAAACTTGTAGAGTTGCAACCTGATAGGTGAGATATTTGTTCACCCGAACAGTTATTTTTTTAAGTTAACTGAATTGTTGACGTACTAGACCTGTGATGACGATGGAATATTGGATTGGATGGTTCGATTATTGGTCTGACGAACATCATACCGTAAGCGCTGACACTGCAAAAGATCTGTACGAACGTATCTTAAAGTTCCCAGCTTCCGTCAACATCTATATGTTTCATGGGGGTACAAACTTTGGATTTACCAATGGTGCAGGGCTGTGTAAGTACCAATTATATCTATACGAATTTGGATCATATCTAACTCTGTCCAAATATATTTCAGCTAATGGACTGTTTGACAATTCAGGCTTTGAACCTATAACCACAAGCTACGACTACGATTCCCCATTGAATGAAGCTGGCGACTATACAGACAAATATTTCGTAGTCAGAGAACTACTGGAAAAGTATAATCCTGTCAAAACCAACACACCAGATCCACCAGCTTTGGCACCAAAAGTAGGTTACCCATCTATATCTATCGACAAACAAATACCAATAGCACAGGTGTTGACTGAAAATCCTCCTCATGTTATAAATAGCGAAAACGTTATTGCTATGGAAATGCTGGATATAAACAATGGATCTGGGCAGAGTTTTGGGTATATAGCTTACAGAAAGGAGAATGTATATTTAGGACCCTATACCAGGTTGATAATCGAAGGAAATATTTGTGACGTAGTTATTGTACTGGTTGACGGTGTATTGATGTCACGAAATTTAGAATCAAAGGATGATTTGAACTGGGTTGGATTTTGGCGACAGAAGCAATCCTTTCTGATATTAAACAGAGAGAAAAAGACCAATGCTACTGTGGATATAATCGTTGAGGAGTGGGGGAGAATGAATGGGGGAAATATACACCAATACAATAAAACATTTAAGGGGTTATGGCAGGGTAACTTTGTCTATTCTATAATATTCACCCTTTAATTTACTTCTTCAATTTTCAGGTGATGTCTACATTGACACAGAAAGAGTTTCGGATTGGAAAATTATTCCTCTAGAATTTAAAAAATCTTGGACCAACAGCTTGGCAAACTGGTCGGACAAAACGTCTAGCGATGGGCCTGGGTTGTATCACGCGAATTTAGAAATAACCACCGAGCCCAGCGACACCTACTTAGATATGCGAAAGTGGACTAAGGGGTTGGTTATTGTGAACGGTTTTCCTCTAGGAAAGTACGCTAAGATTGGTCCTCAGCAAGCATTATACTTACCTGGTCCGTTCTTGAAGAACGGTTCTAATGACATTGTGATATTCGAGCAATTTAAAGCTGATGATGAGCTAAGCTTTGTCACGAAACAGATATGGAACACTGTATAATGGTTTTATTTCTTAATAAATTACTTGCAAAGTCATAGTATGCTTATTTAAACAAGTGAGAGGTGCTAAATAAAATATAATAAGTACATATTTAAAAAAATCGTAATAAATATCATTTTCTTACAATTTTGTTTGTTGTTTTGTTGAGTTAATTATTTATTTAATTACGTTCGTAACATTAACATATCATTATTACAGCACCTATTTCTTTATCGTATTTATAAAATTGTTCCCGTAAACGGGCGTTTTGGAAAACACTAACTCTTTGTTTGGTGAAAACTCTTCAAATACTACTATTTCGTTATCCCCCACCTTCAACAGCGGTGCAGGTAAGTATAGACTTTGTTGCGGTCCGACTTTCCAATATCTTCCCAGCACGAAATTGTTCACGATCACTATCCCTTTATTCCAGCCGCTCATATCCAGAAAAGTGTCATTTGTTTCCTCCAAAACTAAGACGGCTTTGTACAGTCCTGCACCTACTGGTACGTTATCCTCAATGGGCGCCCAACCAGACAAGTTTTTATTCCAGGACTTTTTAAATTCCATTGGAAATATTTCCCAGTCCTCGATCTTTTGTTCGTCTAGTACCACTCCCTTTGATAATCCCTTGAATTGATAGAATTGGTCTAAGGAACCAAAATTGTTCCTACCTAAGTTCCCTACAACCAAATCCAAGGTGGCGTTGGACAAATCTTCCTCGGAACTCAAGTCTAGGGTACTGTTTTCAACTTTCCAGTAACCGAAACTGTTTAGGTCTACCACGTTCTTTGTTATCAACTTGTTGTTTACATAGACGTTCACAGAATCTTGAACATAGCCCAGGATTTTTAACAAAGAATCTTTTATAATGATTATGTTGTTCTTGCGGTAAACAATGTAACCAAAGCTCTGACCCGTGTTGTTATTAATCGATAAGTTTTCCATAGTTATCAAGTCTTTGTTGTCAATTTTATGTGGCAGTTTCTCAATCAGTTGACTGTATCCTATGTACTGCTCTATCTTAATGCTAGGATAAGTCGAAAGTTCTCTTACACCAGGCAAGTCGGGCAGTTTCGTTTTAACACCGTTGTATTTGTCTAGCAATTCCTTAACCACGAAGTACTTTTCCGTGTAGTTACCAAATTCCGAAAGAGGAGCATCGTAGTCGTAGCTGGTGATGTCAGGTGTATAAACACCTGAGTCTATATTAGCTCCGTTCACAAATCCAAAACTGGTACCACCGTGGAACATGTAGAGGTTTACCGAAGCAGGGTACTTTAATATCCTTTCGTAAACGTCCTTGAATTGTTTTACATCACCTACGTACTTCTTTTCAGACCAATGGTTGAACCACCCCGACCAATATTCCATGCTCATCGAAGGTTTATCCTTCTGCAAAGTCTTCAGTTTGTCGAACTGTTGCTCTGGATTGGAGTTGAAGTTTGCAGTTTGGAATAAACTCGGTAAACTCCCCACGCTGCCGTGATCGTACGGCGAGTCGGAAGTGAACAGTAACTCTTTTATATTGTTGTCCAGAAACAGTTGTCGGAGTTGTTCAACGTACACTGAATCGGGTACGAAAGGTGGATTCGCTCTTTTGGTCTCAGTACTCCCGTATTCGTTTTCTATTTGGAATGCGATTATAGGTCCTCCTTTGGTGAATTGTAATGATGCTAGAAGTGCCAGGAGTACGTTGAAGTAGCGTCTCACGTGGCTCATGTATTTCTCGTCGGATGTTCGGAATTTTATATCCTTTTCTCGGAGTAGGTAACTGGGTAAACCCCCAAACTCAAACTCGGCGCAGATGAAGGGCCCTGGACGTACTATGGCTAGGAGGTCTTCTTCCTGGGCAGTCTTTAGGAATTTCTCGATGTCAAGGAAGTCTTGCATGTCGGTTCCACCTTGGCCAAAATCGTACACCCCTGGAAAAAAAAAGAATATGTAAATGAGTTTTTTGATGAAGTACATTTTCCATAGTAACTTTTTTATACCGACAATATATCATCATGATGGATAGGAATAGTTATTTTCGAAAAACAATTAATTAATAATATCGGAAGAAACATGATGATAAAATATAAACATAATATAGACAACATCATTAATGCGCTAGCACAAAGAAGGTAGGAAAAGGTGGTATATGTACCAAGGATTCTGTTGGAAATGAAAAAATGGAAATACCAAATGCCATTTTTCACTATCACGTTTTTGGGAGACAAAATGTTTGAGCAAAAATCCAACGTCAGTTTGTTTTCACAAGCCTTTATCTTTTTTAGTGTAGCACTTTTAGATTGTCTGCACGGGATTTAATCGTGTTTTCGTTTATCAAATATTTGATTATCTTCAAATTGAGATTTACATATTGCCTTATTCTGTTCGTGATTTATTATTTTATAATCGAACTTTTATCCATATGAACCGTCTAAAGTGATACTTTTTCCACTATTGGAATAAAGTAACTTTATTTCACTAATAGAATAATACAGAAATAATAAACCTTTAATAAATCAAATTTAATTTATTTACTTTTATCACATTTAACTTCCTTATCGTTAATAACAACCCTTGTCGCACTGTTGCCATCATTTTCGGAACGCATAACATCTGCCGAAGTTTGTGAAGAATTTGCACAAGTTACGGATGTCTCTTCTTGTAAGGAACAGCTATATTTTCCTTGGATGTTCCTTGCAATATCAAGTTTATTAGATATAGACTCCTCAACATAACTTTCTGGACAGAGGAGCTCTTCCATCCACCATGCCGTTTGGTGGTTGCAAGATCAGCACCTTTATAGGCCAATAAAGTTGTTGAACTGCGTCTCATACAATGGCCAGTATATGTTTTTTTTTTTATTAAATTTAAATAGTTCTGACTCCACAAATATGATTGTGATGTGATTATGGATAAAACGTTGTATTGCATTCGTATTTTAATTGCCTTTTATCCACTTGAGATTATTAAACATTCTTGCGTGGATAAAATGGTACTTAAGACATTTATACAACAAATAACTATTATCAATAAGAGCAGATACTTATTGATATTCTTAAAAATGTTACTAATGATGCTATATATTTTTTTAAATGTATGAACGACCCAAGCAGTCTTTGGAAGTATCACAAATGTCACTAAAATACACTGTTAATAATTTCAGGTAGGTTTAAATATGTTGAAAAAGGGTTTTTGACTATTACAACAATTATATTTAAAATTAATACACCCCGTATAGTATATAATTGTATTTAAACACGCGTTAACGTTTCGTTATTTAGTTATTGCGTTGAAGATAAGGAAAACCTGCACGACACGCCCATTGAAAGAATTCATATTATTTATCTGTGTGGCAGTGAAAATAAATTATGTTTAGATTATTATAATGGCGCTGATTATAGAGTCAACGCTCTTGTGAATCTTCTCAACCTGTTACATTCGAAAGACAGATAAACAAATGCGTAGCGAGCCTATTGGTATGTACGATAAGGCAACTGCCTTGGATTGTACTGAAAAAACCATCCATAAATACTAATTACAATTTCAACTGAATACTAAATGGCAGGTATTTCTGTTGGTCGATTTATTAGTCAATTTTTTTTTCTCGAAGTTCTACCTCGCCGACCTTAGCGGGACACCCTGTACAAATTACACATGACCCTTTTTTAAATATGTCTGTCTTATATGTGTATCTTTTTTTAAATTTTAATGCTACAGATGAAAAAGCATTTTTGATTCAATCGCCCTATTTTGACCTTAAAAACCGTTTGTTCCATTTTGTTACAGCACCCTGTATAAAAGCGGAGTAAAATCACTGCTCTCTGGCACCTCTGTTATAATTTTAATCACATTTTTTTGACGTACAATATACTAGAGATCGGCATTAATGTTTGTAAACCATTTTAATCATAACAGATACAAAAAACTTATTAACAAAGTTGGTAAAAAGTTGATAGAAGATCAATGAAATTGGTAAATCCACATAGCGGGAAATCCCCAGTATCCGAATGAATTTAATTCCCACAAAGACTTCACGCAAACGTAGCAATTGCAGCAAAATAATTAACAAATAGTGACATTTACCTGGTTGGGGTTCGTGTAAGTTCCAGGGAACATAAGTCTCCACCGCGTTGAGTCCCGCTGCCCTCATCTTCCTGAGCCTGTCCCTCCAGTATTCCTGAGGGACGCGGAAATAGTGCATGGCACCGCTGTAGAGCGATATGTTTTTGTCGTTCAAGGTAAAATAGGGCTGATCCACAGACAGGCCCTGTGTGATACCACCGCTGGTATAGTGTTCGTAGAGCGTTGGTAGATTTGCCATTTTCTTTTGTTCTTGACGTGAAAGAAACGAAAGAATGTCGATTTTGTAAGTACTGATGCGTCACTGCACCACTGAGGTTTATCGTCCTCAGTTCCGTTCGATAGACTAAAACCTGTTTATGTGTTTAATGTTTATAAAATTATAATTTATCAGAAATTTCGTCGCGACTGATACAAGGTGGCTCAAATAGTTTTTTTTATCCGTAATTAGATTAACGTACATTCTTTGGATATTGGGACGAACATATGTTTACTTGCATTTGTCGGTTATTGAAATGCAAAGGTCGTATGACCTTCGGTTTTTCTGTACGTGTATTAGAGAGAAATTGTGCTTCAATTTTCTGATTCGATAATTATGTCTTGGCCAAATTTAAGGTTACTGGTAATGACAAATTGATTTACACGTATCTACTTCGTAATTTATTGCTAATTTGTGGTAAAATTCGCTTTAAAAGATACAAAATTAAAAAATACAGGTAGTTAAAAAAGTTTTGTATAAAAAATATGTCAGAACCAGTTGAAAATTTACAAGTTCCCCAACAGCGTATAGAAAAAGCATACAAGACAGTTAGACCCCAGTCTGGGATTTTTGAGAAAGGACATAATTCTTCATACACAGACAATTTACGTGACGCGACAGTGGCGTAGAAGTGCAGATCAAAAAAGAGGACGATACCGGTAAATTTTCGACCAATGAAGTATCTCATTTATTAGGACCAAATAATGAATATTAGGTCATACCAGCTACCACAATTGAACTAAGTTGGTCAACTCGTTTGAAACACAAACAAAACAGATTTTTAACACATTTCTTCAATTTCATACAGATCTTCGTGTTTAGAAATTTACAGAAAAAATCTTAGGTTTCTAAACCATCATACTTTTAACGAATTTAATATAGTTTGGATTTTTATTTTATTCTCTTAATTTTCTATAAAAAATATTGTAACTTTCCAATTAAATGGCCTTTAAATTGCAATTTTGGTCAACTTGCCCGAATTTTGAAGTTAGTTTGATAACAATATGTGACAATAATTTTTTTTCAAACCCCTGGCGAGGGGTGAAAGAATATAAAGGGTTTTTTCAAGTTAACTCAAAAAGGGTAAGAGCTAGAAAAAAGTTTCTTATAAAAGTTTTAGAGCATAAAATTCTACATAAAAATGGTATATGGGACTTTTTCTTGTACTATTAAAATTAACAGAGTTAGGAAGACTAGAAGTTAAGGGATGATTTCAGAAATTTAAAAAATCAAGCAGAAAAATGAATGAATTTTTTTTCAATCTATTCTAAAAAATGTAAACTATCTTTTCAGAGAAATAGACATATTTTTTAATTTTTAATAGAAAAGTTATAACAATTTTACAAAGCGAACGTGATTTTTTATCTTTGTCATAAAACAAAATTTCGAAAGCAACATTGGCATAGAAAAAAAAATTGTTTTAGTGTTAAATCATACAAATTAACGATTAAAAAATTGAAATTGTTATAACTTTTTTATTAAAAATTAAAAAATATGTCTATTTCATTCATTTTTCTGCTTGTTACGATTTTTTTAAATTTCTGAAATCATCCCTTAACTTCTAACCACCCTAATTCTGTTACTTTTAATAGTACAAGAAAAAGTCAATAGACCATTTTTATATCGAACTTTATGCTCTACAACTTTTTTTTCTAACTCTTGCCTCTTTTGAGTTAAATTGAAAAACCCCTTTATTTTATCTTTTTTCACTCCTGGCTGCGGGTTGAAAAAAAAATTACAGTCACTTATTGTTATTATATACCTCAACTATTACAACTTATATCAAAAATTCATGCAAGTTGACTAAATTGCGATTTATATTCACACTTAATTGGACTACGTATTATGTAAATATTTTACAGGAAAAATATAATATTTTGTGTCTCGTCTGTACTTCTAACTTTTTTGTGGCCACCCGTACTGTAATCACTTCATTTCTATAAAGATAAATGTTGGAGTGAAAACAAAGCAATTATAAAAAAAAAATATTTATATAATTATTTTATCACGTTCAGGCTTGTTCAGTACACAGACATTTGCTTGTTGGAAAATAAGCGTTTGTTTTTCAATTTTGAAAATAGCGATCCAAGTCGAATTGTCCACTAATAGACCAGTGCTTAAGCCTTCAAAAATGGTAAAAAGTGAAAAAAAATTATAGTACGATGAAACCCATTGGAAAAGAAAGAGAATATAACAGAAATGAAAAGAAAAATAATTTACGGGCGATCTGAGGTCGGGAAGGGGAAGGGGGTGAGTTTTTAAGGGTAAAAAACGGTTTATCTTGATTTCCGGAAAAACTACAAGTCTTATGGAAAAAAGTTAAATGG